GATGCATGCCATATATAACATTTACGAAGGTAGAGTCAAAGAGTTTATGAAGATTCAACAAACACCTAATAAAAGTTACGGTACTTGCAATAAACACGTACAACCTAAAAAAAAGAGAAAAATCACGATGCTTTACCTAGTTGATCAATACGACTTCAATAGTTTTATCATTGATTACAAATTATGTCATTTCACTTAGTTGGGAAAGACTTTGATAAAGTTCAATAAACACAAATCATAAAGAATAAATTATGTCGCCATTTGCTATGCATAGATTTGTGCCCAATCAAAATAATTTTTGAAGACGCTTCGACAATAATCTAATTAGAGACAAAATAAAAAGAAGAATAAGAGATTACCCTGATAAAGATTATTGAGTGGTAAGAACCCCATCATCTTAATTTTGTATAAGTAATATTAAATGGAATTGTTGAGGTTGTTATGCTGAAGAAAGCACTTTGTGAGAGAAGCATATCAACGCCATTACAGTCATCGCAAGGACCTACAACTTCAACAATTTCTCCAAATGTTGTTCCTCGTGGATCAGTACACGACTGCGATATATCATCATTTTTACACCACACTTTATATACATTCCCGCAAGAGTGTTCATTCCATAATTGATGACCAAGTTTGACTATTTTCTCTCCTTGTTGCAGGGTATTGAAGCAATAAGAAGCTGCAGATAAACAATATTAGTTCACATTCACATGAAATTATATATTAACTTTTAGAGAAGGATGTATAGAGATTCATAAAAAATATTTTAAGAGTTATTTAAAAGAATGATGCAAGATGAGTTATAGCAACTGGACTCCTTATAGGAAGTTGTTAATGGCGGTAACTAACGTAACTTATCTTCATCGGTTGATTAGGAGTTTTGACTATCAATTAAGAAGTTTTGAATTTAAACTTGAGTATGCAACGTGTTGGTGTTTGAGTTTTCCTTAATTGACCTAAATGTACCCAAAAAAAATTTGTAATCACCATCTCTAGTCACTATCAGCTGTTTACGACCTCCACAACCAACCACAACATTGAGCCCCACAATTTGCCTCCACCTCCAACCTGTGTCGGTCATTACATCTAGCCACTATTGACCACCATCTCAAGCTATCATGTATAGCCATCATCTTTGGCTACCATGGACCATCACTTATGGCCATTGCCACTCTACTAGAAATAGCCATCACCTTCACGTACATAAATTAATTTATTCAATATTTAATTGAGGTGAAAACATGTTTTTCATAATCAAAACATGTTTTTATTGTAAATCAATACAAAAACAAAACAAAATAAAAAATTTAAATTCTAAGGGGCTATTTGGTAGCACCTAGGATTTGTGTAAGTAGGATTTCATAAATCGTCTAAATCCGGATTTGGAAAATCCTGAGGGGTCTAAATCCTGAAAACTGTTTGGTAACATTCATGATAAATCCTATTAAATCTCGTGTGACTGTTTGGCTATATAGCAGATTTAACGAGCGGATTCTTCCTCTCGAGCCAATGGATTTCATAAATCCGAAAAAAAAAACAGGAATTCGAAAATACGGGATTAAGCATGAAAAGGAGGAATTTTCCATCAACGGCGTCTTTCATTTGCCGTGAGATTTGGTGTTGCATTTTAGGCTGTTTCGTTGGATTTCACTCAAATTCACCTCAAATCCGGCCTAAATCCTGCTACCACACAGCCCCTAAGTTTAAAAGAATGTGATTTGAAACTACCCCTTAATTATAAGAATTATTCGTTTGAAAAAGCTAAAATAATTTAAGACCATAATGGATTTTCACAAAGAAGTATTTATAAATGCATAAAGTAATATCTCTAACATTTAAAATGTAAATAAATGTTTTAAATAAGAAATTTTGACACTTACGAACGTAAGGTCCAGTGTAGTAGAAAGCTTCTGCCGTACCTGAAGTTGCTAATTTAAGGCAAAGAAGCATTGTAATGAAAAAAATACCTTCTTTCATGGCTAATGACATCTTTTTTCTCAAAGTAAAAGTTAATGCTATTAGATATGGAGAGCTTTACCTATTTAAAGGATCTCATATCCCAATATTTGACAAAATTAAAATGACACAAATTATTATAAGATAAAAAAAGACAAGCTTGTTTGACATACTCAAATTAATGACTGTAATATAATTGGCGTATATGAAGGAGATAATATTTATTTTACAAATTCAAAGTAGCTCAAATTATGACGAGAAAAATAAATATAAATAGAAATAGTCTCTGGAAGTGAAGCATAAGAGCTCATTAAAATTATTGTTTGTAATAAAACTGGCATGAAAGAGATTTATTTGACAAAAGCAAATTGGCACAATTATTCTAAGAAATAAATTAATTAAAAAAAATGCTAAGAAAGTGAAACATTAAGAGAGAATGTTCAATTAAGGCTACTAGTTAGATAGACACTGAGTACCCAATATATAGTAGCAACAACTTCAGGGTTTTATATTTTTAGGGGTTTTTAGAATTTGAAATTTATCATCGAACACTTAAAGCGAATAATGAAGGAATGATAATATACTCTATTAAGATCCCATGGTTCTATTCAGGGGCGGAGCCAGGATTTTCTTCATGTGGGGGCACAAATTATTAAGTTTAAGAAAAAAATTCTTAACCTCTTTTATTCGAGATTGTGACCGGTATAGACAATTATTTTTTTTTTTAAATCATTAGACTCATTATAAACATATAAAATACATAATTGATATATCATCAAAAAATAATCTTGATTGGGCATGAATCTCGAGGCAAAATTCAAGTTGGAAACTTCAAAAATTAAAATAATCGGATTTCTACCTGACAACCGACTAGCACCAGATTTCTGCCTGACCATCATTAGAAGCAGGATATCCGCTCGACCACCAAATATCGTCGGATTTTTTATCTCTTCTTGTAGTTAAATTTCAATTCTGGAATTGATTATTGTACTCCGATCTCCCCCTAAGAAAGCATTCAGGAATCCAATCTATTACTTAATTTATAAAAAAATGTTAATGTACCAAAATTTTGACATCAAACAACAAACATTAATTCAGACAAATTTATTATTTTTTAGAAATGATTGAGCAATTTGTTTTAAACTATTTTAATAATACCATGCATGAACAAACTATTGCAGAAATTGAAATCAACCTAAGGCAATTACATTGGGTACATTTAATTAAATTTGAAGTACCTAATATATTGATTCCATTAAAAATTAACCCCATATTCGAACTTTATAACACAATTACTAAAACGGCACGGTATGCTAATAGCCACTTAACTACATAAAGTACTAGCATATTAGGGAAATAAGAAGAAACTTTGTAGTTCATAGCAAACCATTTTTCTTACTTTCAAATCTACAGCATCTGTTGTAGCTTGTAGAGTTATAGAGAGAGAGAGAGAGACAGAGAGAGAAATATATATATATATATCGTCACCAACCACCTGCATGAGAAGGTGAAGTGTGGATGTGTGGGCTTTCGAAGAAGAAAGAAGATGGGGATTTTTCCTTCAGTTCGTGAGCTCGTCAAAGAAAAGCCCTTCCGCCTTGTCTGTGACTGTGTGTGCGCGAAAAAGTTGGGCGGGATTGAGGATGAAGAATAGAAAATTTTAATATTAATAATTTACATTAGGCGGTAATTAAAGAGCTATAAATTACTTTAATTAAGTATTAACTATGGTCAGTGGGGGCCCGTGCCCCAACGTCCCCTAGCGAAAATCCGCCTCTGGTTCTATTGTCCAGGGCCATCATGATCCTTAGTCTACTAGGTTAGAAGAGGTAGTCAACTGAACCTAACTGAAAGATCCTTATCGGTAGTTATAGGCTTCCTCGTCCAAGGGGACCTTGTATATTAGGGATAAATGTTTGTCTAATGGGATACATTTGAGTCAACCTTACATAAAAATGGCTTTGTTCTCTATCAAGTATATCCTATAATTCATTATTTAACGGTTTAGAGTCATTGGGGAATATATGAGATTTGGCTATGACCATAATTTAGTAGTACCATTTTATGACAAAATCATCCAGTCATAACCATTTACATGTGGTGTCATTTGGCCGCAATTGGTTAGAAGACACGTGTCACGTTCTTACTAACAAGAATATGTTTAAAAATGAATTTAAGAGGTACACTTAACTGGATATTTGTTATTTGTGAGCGGAAGTTATTCTCAAAATTATAATTTATGCATGTAAATATAAGATCATTTTATGTTACAAGCACTAGTAGGCAAAGAAAGGAAATCGTTTATTCATGAAGATTTCACTTCAGTATATTCTTCTTCATATCATATGAAAGAATTCCCTCCTGCAAGTTCAATACAGCTATAAGTGTTGTCAAATAAATAAAGGTCTTTAGCAGAGCAGAAAGAAGAGCGGAGTTTATCACCCAAAGACAACAAAAACATAAGAACACAATGTTATAATATTAAAAGGATATATAGAAATATATTACAAATTTATTTTAGTAAGACAACAAATTATATCAAGCATAACACCTTACAAACATATATATATAGTAGACATATAGGAAGATATATAGAAACAACAACTTCTTAAATTTGATATCTTCTTCTGCATTACATTCTTTGACATTTTAAAGTTCCTGCAAATATTAATCATGAAGAAACAATTGTTAGAAGGTTGATTGATCACATAAGTGACAATAGCGAGTCTTTTGAAAACGTCTGTCACCTGCAAAGAACACAAGCACAAGAAAACAGAACAATACAAGTCCTGCAACCGAGAACTGTAATACTTTCTATTGATATGTAAAAACTGTGTACAACTATTAGCTGTGAGGTATATGTATTCCCTCTCCTTTCATCCTACTATATCTGGTTCCATCATCTAAAAAGCCAACTAAAGTAGTAAATAACCGAAAGTAGTAAACTATAAGTAAAAAGATAAAATGGGGTAGTGGACACCGTAGGAGGTTGTTATTGAGGTGTCCTGTTCGTTAGCTCAAGCGAGCTAACGTGTTCCGCTGCATCAGTCCTCCCCGGCTTCAGAAGAGCTCGACTCCGACGAGCTTAGTGCGATCACGCCATCATCTGCGGGTTTGTACTCCCAGATGTCGGAGACATTAAAAGTCGAAGAAGTGTTGCAATCCGCAGGTAAGGCAACGGTGTAGGCGTTGTCGTTGATTTTAGTGACAATAGGCACAGGACCGATTTTGCGTCGCGCCAACTTACTGTACGTCCCCGGTGGAAACCGCTCTCGGCGAAGTCTGACCATAACTAAATCTCCCACTTTGAATGTCTTATGTCGGCGATGAACGTCTGCAGTTTCTTTATAAAGCTGGTTGGATTTAATGATTTGTTGGCGAACCTCCGCTAGCATCTCAGAATACTGATCCGTGAAGTTTGTAGCAGCAGAAGATTTGCATTTTGGCAACACAGTAATGTCCAAAGAAATGTTAGGTTGTTTAGTGTATACAATACTGAAAGGTGATTTACCTGTCGTCCGGTTTGTCATGGAATTGTAGGCGAATTCCGCCTTGCTGAGAACCTCTTCCCATTGCTTTGGATTGTCAAGTACTAGACATCACAACATATTTCCCAAGGTGCGGTTGACGACCTCAGTCTGGCCGTCAGATTGCGGGTGGTACGCCGAGCTAAGTCGGAGGTCTGTTCCCAGTCGCTTCCATAGTTCTCTCCAAAAATGACTTATAAACTTGACATCACGGTCGGATGTAAGGCTTCGCAGGAGGCCGTGCAAACGAACAATTTCGTTAAAAAAAAGTGTTGCAATGTTCAAGGCACTAGAGGTTTTCTTACATGAAATAAAATAGGCCATTTTTGAAAATCTGTCAACGACCACCATGATGGAGTCGTTACCTCTTCTGGTGCGTGGCAAGCCCAAAACGAAGTCTAAACTGAGATCTTCCCAAATTGAATCTGGCACCGGCAACGGCATATAAAGCCCTGTATTCTGTGCGCCTCCCTTATAGGCTTGACATATCGGACAACTGTCAACCATGCGGAAAACATCTCTCCTCAATCTGGGCCAAAAGAAGCGAGTTTGTAATTGCCGTAGTGTGTTTTCCCTTCCCAAGTGCGCAGCTAGACTACCACCGTGAGTTTTACGGACTAGTTGGAGTCTCCAAGAAGAAACAGGAATACAAAGGAGATTCTTTTTGAACAAGTATCCATGCCTTATCATATAATATGAACCGCTATTATCTTCTTGACATTGCTTCCATATATCACCAAAATCAGGATCTTCCGCATACAAGTCTTTAAGACACTCGAGTCCTGTGATCTCCGTTTGGAGCTGTGCAAGGAGAATTCGTTTCCGGCTAAGAGCATCCGCGACTTTGTTGTCGGACCCCGGTTTGTGCTTAATTGTGAATGAAAATCTTTGTAAGAACATCACCCATCGCGCGTGCATACGGTTCACTGTGCGCTGGCTATTAATATACTGCAACGCCTTATTTTCCCTGCATAAAATGAAATCTTGGTGTAACAAATATTGCTCCCACTATTTGAGTGCACGAACAATGGCGTAAAATTCTTGCTCGTAAGCTGACCACTTCTGTCGAGCCGGACACAATTTCTCACTAAAAAAGGCAATGGGTTTACCTTCTTGTGATAGAACCGCACATATACCCAGAGACGAGGCGTCTGTATCCACAATAAATAATTTGTCAAAGTTCGGAAGGGCCAGCACTGGGGCTGAACTAATAGCCTTTTTAATAGCTTCAAAGCTGGACTGTTGCTCCTCTCCCCACTTGAATTCCTTGGACTTTAAGCAGTCAGTGACGGGCGCCATTAGCAAGCTGAAATTCTTGATAAACTTGCGGTAAAAATTAGCAAGACCATGGAAGCTACGAACTTCAAAAAAAGTAGCTGGTGTCGTCCAGTCCAGGATTGCGGTTACCTTTGTGGAATCCATCTGGACACCTTCCTTCGATATCGTGAAGCCAAGGAAAGAGACCTTTTGAGCAGCAAACTCACACTTGGGTAGGTTGATAAATAACTTCTGCTGTTTTAAAACTTCAAAAAGGCTGTGTAAATGACTTAAATGCTGTTCCCAATCAGTGCTATATACTAGGATGTCATCAAAATACACAACACAAAATTTTCCCATGTACGGTTTAAAGATTTCTGACATCATTCTCATAAATGTCGAGGGGGCATTGCACAGCCCGAACAGCATGACCCTCCACTCGTACAGTCCTTGCGGAGTTTTAAACGCCGTTTTCCATTCATCCCCCGGTCGTATCCTGATTTGATGATAGCCACTGCGCAGGTCAATTTTTGAGAAAACAGATGAACCCGTGAGTTGATTTAGTAATTCTTCAACACGTGGTACCGGAAATCTGTACTTGATTGTTATCTTGTTGATGGCCCGGCTGTCGATACACATCCTCCAACTTCCCCCTTTCTTTGGAACTAAGAGTGCCGGCACCGCACACGGGCTTCTACTTGTCTGAATTAATTGTTTTTCAACTAGTTCCTCCACTAAGCCTTGAAGAATGCTCTGTTCTTTCGGATTAAGCCTGTAATGTGGGAGATTGGGAAGAGATGCGCCAGGGAGGAAATCAATTTGATGCTGTATGTGGCGGAGAGGCGGTAACCCCGCTGGTAATTCTGCAGGAGCGATAACTTCATACTGTTGTAGTAAACACTGAATATCTGTGGGGATGTCCTTCCGTTGGGTTGCAGCATTTGGCTCAGTTATCAGTAAAGCATACAACGGAGCTGGTTCCCGCCAACAGTGAAGCAAAGTAGCTCCATTCACTATATGCAATGCCGCCTGCTTTGCTGGTTCAGAGTGTGTAGCTTTGAATTCTGGAGAGTTGGGAAGGAGTCGGAGTCGTTTCCCTTTCCACTCGAAGGCATATACATTTGCTCTGCAGTCGTAAGTAGCCCCGACATCAAACTGCCACGGCCTCCCTAAAATGAGGTGACAAACGTCCATTTCGACGACGTCGCACAGCACCTCGCATACATATTTTTTTCCAATGGAAAATGTCACTCGACAAGACTCCGCGACACTTATTTCCATGCCCTTCTTTACCCAACTTATCTTATAAGGATTAGGATTCTTGGAGGTCTTCAACTGCAGATTTTGTACCACGACTCTAGATATCACATTTTCTGTACATCCGCTGTCAATTAATAGATCACAGACCTTGCCATTTATAGTGCATCGAGTTCGAAATATAGCATGGCGTTGGGAGTTGCTGGGCTGTCGGGGAGCTAGCAACAGCTTCTCTAGGATACAGACTAATGGTTCACCATCATCGGCTAAGACATCTTCTGTGCCCATTTCTATTTCTTCTTTTGTTTCGGCAGTGCCTCCCTCTTCTTCGCCTTCGGCCAGTTGGATCTGTCGCCATTGAGGAAATTCATTGGACTTATGCCCCGGTTGGAAACAACGAAAACACTTGAACGTGGCAGGCTTGGCATATGGGTTCTCCTTAGTAGTTGGCCGATTCTTCCAAGGCTATTTGGGTTCAGAATTTACATTGGGCATGGGAGTTGAAGGTGTTGCAATGGAAGTAGCGTTTGGTGGTGTTTTGAAGGTGGCCGAGTTAGCCTTGTTGCTGCTGTACTGGGGTTCTTGCCAATGTCGCCGATTTGTGACAGTTTTCGATTGTCTATTTTGCTGCATTTCCGCCTTCAAGGAGAAATTGACTGCTTGGGACATAGACCAAACAGAGTTTAACTCTAGTCTATCTTGAATGTTATCTTTCAAGCCGCCAATGTACCGGGCTACTAACTGATTGGCTGATTCGTTGAGATTACATCTAGCGCTTAATCTGTTGAACTCCTCCGTGTACTCGTTCACAGATCTCGCTCCTTGTACACAATGTTGGTACCGCATGTAAAGAATCTGCTCATAATCCGTGGGCAGGAATTGTGCCCTTAGGAGTTGCTTCATTCGATTCCAATTCCTTACTCGGCCCTTGCCTTCTCGTTGCCTCATTTGCAAAACTTGCATCCACCACGCACTCGCACCTCCTTTCAATCGACACGCCACATACTTGACTTGTCGGTCTGGCTCAATCTCCAAATATTCAAAAAAGTTTTCAACAGCTTTTTCCCAATCCAAGTAATCTTCAATATGTAAATGTCCATCAAAAAATGGGATATCTAACTTAACTTTAAATTCCCCCGGGTGATAGACGGTCGGTCCAGTTCTGCGATACCGAGGATTCTCTTGTGGAATTCTGACTTCACCATCTTCTTCACCGGCTCTCCGATACTCCTGCAGCTCATCATATGAATCGGAGTTTTCCTGGGAAAATAATGGGTTTCTTCGTCCGATGCGGGGTTGAGCTTCTGTCCTCCAAGGTCTCTGTCTAACTGGCGGTGTGGGTTGTTGCGGAAGTCTGGCCTTCAAGAGATTGAACTCGCGGCGCACTTCAACTGTCAACCGCTGTACGTCTGCTGCGAGATCGTCCAGCCGGCGATTCATATTCGACTGGTTTGCCCAGAGTGTGTCCAGGCTTGGTACTTCTTCGGTGACTGGTTGCTTGCCGCGCTCCGTCATCCCCTTCGATCACTGGCTCTGATACCATATAATGCAACGTCTGTCACCTGCAAAGAACACAAGCACAAGAAAACAGAACAATACAAGTCCTGCAACCGAGAACTGTAATACTTTCTATTGATATGTAAAAACTGTGTACAACTATTAGCTGTGAGGTATATGTATTCCCTCTCCTTTCATCCTACTATATCTGGTTCCATCATCTAAAAAGCCAACTAAAGTAGTAAATAACCGAAAGTAGTAAACTGTAAGTAAAAAGATAAAATGGGGTAGTGGACACCGCAGGAGGTTGTTATTGAGGTGTCCTGTTCGTTAGCTCAAGCGAGCTAACGTGTTCCGCTGCATCAGTCTGCTTATTGATCATTGTTTTATTTTTTGCTACCCTTTCTGTTTGGTTGTCTAGGTTGCTTTAGTTTCTTTTTGTTGATGTATTTGGACGTTATCTGCGGTCCTCATTGTATCCCTTCTTGATTGGAATAAAATTATGTGTTAAAAAAAGTAGGATTTCGTAAATCCTCTAAATCCGGATTTCAAAGTTCAGGGTGAGGGAATTCGGATTGGTTCAATTTCATGTCGGATAAAAATCCCTATTGCAAATCTCCCTAGATAGGCCTTGAAATTAATCAAAGTAATTTCTTTTTGAACAAATGAGAGGAAGGAGAATGGTCTTTATTTTTTGCCATCTACCATGCCAAATTATTTCTAAATTCACCAAACTTTTTTGTTAAAGACAAACTTAAACTCATTTAATTTTACGCAAAATTTGTAAAAAAAATTGACTTCTCTTTGGCCATAGTTTTGTCAGCACAGTCTTTGATGCAAAATTTAAAATATAATTAGATAATTTATCAATTATTTTATTTTAACAAATAATCCTTCAAAATATTAATTTTTATAAAAAAAAAATAATTTATATAAAATTT